CAGGCACTGTGGAATAGGGAAATTATATCAAACCCAATTTTTAAGCTTCATTGGAGTCATTGACTTCCTTTGCTTTTCCCTGCCAGGCACTATTGTTTACGTTACATACAGCTGGACAGGTTATGCACAAGTGGATTAAATAGAACATACCCTTCCTGGTTTGTCCTGTGACCAGTCAGTCAGTCCTAGATTTCCTTAGCATCTCTTCTGGCTGTGAGACATGGTACATTTGAAATGAAACTGTTGGTGCTGGCAAAGACACGAAGGTCAGTGGAGATGACTACGGAGGTGGTAGCAGAGCTGAAGATCGCTCTGCTGGCCATAACAGTTCTCAGCTAACTCATCAGCAACTGATCCACTTCCACAAAATTATTCTGTTGGTCTTGGCTGAGGAGTTTGGCCACACTTTGCATGTGGTACAGTCTGATCCCTTACCACCCTTTGAATAGCCAAAGAGGCAGATCTTGTAGATCCTCTCACAAAACTTTTCATCCTTTTCTCCCGGTGGTCTAGTGTTCTCAGCCCATGAATCCTGGACAGTAATAGGATTCTCCTACATCTTCTGCATTACAGCTGAGTTTGAAATTGATATTTCTACCTTTTTGGAGTTCTGTTTTAAGACCTTGCTTGTTGCCCTGTAAAAATCACATTTATTTCTTTAAATCAATATCTGAGAGGGATGGGAAGGAAGGAGAATGGGAAGGGTTGTCCCCACATGTTCCAACACATTTTGAAGGTAAGAAGCCATTGACAATATCAGTGTGCTTAAACTGCTAAGAATCATCAAAAACCAGACAAGCAGCACACCTGTACAGGCCTGCACAGGAATGACATCTATCTTAGCAATGGAAATTGGGCAGCATCTGATAGAATGGCTCACAGGTGAGGGTTGAGTCTAGCTAAACACCTGTGCAGTGATAGCAACTTTGTTTAATGCCAGAATTCTGTTAGACAACCAGAATACTCTTCTCACAAGTCCTTAAGTAGCAAGGGTAAAGGGAGTGGAAAACTTAGATGGGTATTAACTGGTTGCTGAGATGAGATGCTGCTGTTTGAGAACATCAGGCTAATTCTTTCCCTTACCTCCCTTCTGCCCTTCACCATTGACACATGTGAACAGGCAATGGTGAGGAGCAGGGAAGGAAATCATATTCAGAAAGGGACTTTTACTTCTGAACAGTATGTCTAGGATTTATATTTTTAACCAAAGTTGCCAGGCTAGAGGTTCAGGCGGTAAATACAGCTGGAAGAAAGGGTTTGAGTGTTCTCTGCCCGACTTCCAAGTGCCTAGGGAGTAGTGTATAAACTTAACAACTACTGAGTATCTCTTGGTGTGTCTGGGCAGGCAGATGTACTTATCACTGAAAGTCGTTTTCACACTGTATGGAAGGGAGAGGAAGAGAGAGGAAAAATAGGTTTCATCGAGAAATTTGAAGTGCAGTGTAACATTCCCTATGGGAAGTATGTCAGATCTGATGTCTTTCCCTGCCCACTGAAACAGTTGTTTCCTTTTTCTCTTTGGCATCAGACAAATCTTTCATTCTAATGACCTTAAAAACTGTATTTTGACATCAGTATGAACAAATTTATAAAATGAGCAGGGTTTCTAAATGCCCTTGCTAAATCTGTAGTCTTTCATGGAATCTTGTAAATAATGGTTACAGACACAGCTGGAAAGGGCAGTCAGCTGTTCATTTAAATCTTTGTCCTGAGTTTCCATCCTGTGTTCCGGGTTGTCATTATGGGACAGGAATACGAGAAGGAAAAAAGGTGGTTTTAGAAATACAGCTTCTGTCAGTTAAAGCAAGACATGCCTCATGCAATATAGACTGTATTTGCCATAGCCCATAATTCTCTCCTTCCTAAAATAAGTCTCCCCAAACATAATGAGGTACAGGTGGCACTTACCATACTGAAGGTCCTGCTGTTCTCTTTTCTCAGGTTGCTTATTGTGTCCATTTCACAGTGCTCTTGCGATGCCTCTTAGCTCATCCAGCTACGCAGATTTATTGTGGGTTTCATTCCAGTCGGTCTGAGCCCGAGACTCTGTCTCTTCCACAAGTGACCCCATCCCCCTATTTTCAGCCTAAAAATCAGACTGCTGTCATGAAGGACAGAGCTCTCCATCTGGAAGGGTGGCAGTGGTAAAGTTCATTAGAGAAGGACCTATACAAAATGTATTGCTGGGCTTGCAACACTGTCCCTGACCTTTAGTACAAGTCTTCAGATAATTATGCACAAAAGTACAGCATTTATCACTGCTTGCACCTGGATGGTCTTGGGGCTTGCTATTTTTAGTACTCTTTCCACTAAATCATAATACTATGTTGTAGCACAGTGGTGTATTTTGGTAGCATGCTTATTTTCTCTGCTGTTGCAGAGCCTAATTTATAAAAAAGTCTGAATCAGACCTCTTGGGCAATGAAAGACTAAGGGCCCCGAGAAGGAATATATATGGGCAGAAAGCCTCTATTGAGAAAATGGGAAGTAGATATAAGGTCTGGAAGAGAAAGGGATAGGTAACAGGAGTGGTGGTGGCAGGCTGCCCAAACACTACCTTCACTCTGCGCATTGGGTGAGTTGGGGAACAAGGCACGACTTACTGTGTGCTTAGCTCTAAAGCACACTGAATTCAGCTCGCGTTGAGACCACTGATCTCATCCCATCTGTCCGCGCTCCCTGCCCCAACACATTGTTCTGTCTGAAGCAATGAAGAGAGTAAGGCTTGGTCAACATGCCTGGTGAGACAGACAGTCAGACAAGAGTTTGCGCTTTCTCTAAGAATTTCCATACTGATTCCTTAGCCAGCCATAATAAGTGAGTGGAAACTCTGCCCCTAACGTGAGCAGAAATCGTGGCGCTCTGCAGTAAGCCACTAACCACAATTTTCTCTCATCTCATGCTTTAGAATTTCAGTCAATCCCTGCAGAGGGCAGTAATGACGTTTTTCTCACTAAGCACAGACATTGTCTACAAGTTTTTGTTACTTCTTTTCCTGTAAATCACACACTGGATGAGATGAGTAAGTACTTTGAAGCAGTACTACTTACTGTCTTTGTTAGGTGTGCACATGATATGTCTTGCTGATATGATTGAAATACACTAATAACCAAGATCTCGGATTGGGAGAAAACTTTTTGATAATACATCTAACCAAACATTTTGGTCATACTATTTCATTGTATTGTATTATTTTCACTCAGTAAGGAAGCATTTCTGTGAAGCTAAATGGCCAATAAGGGACAGAAATACAAATTACATATGTAATAGTTCTTTTGCTCCTTAAATCTTTCAGCTGAGAAGTGTGTTGTTCTGAAAGTGCTCTCTTTGAAATAAATAGACTACTTGTGGCATTCAGTGCCACTACACATGGATAAGTTTGACTGCATGTCCTGCCATATCTTACAAAAATAAATGTTTTAGTTGCAGGTTTGAAATAGATTAGGTATCCTGGACGTAGCACATGTTAGTAGAAAACAGATCTGATGACTAAACTTAATAGCGGTTTAATTGACAAAACTATGTGACTCTTTATAAGTTTTCTTTCTGGAGTCGAATTCTCACTGCCAGCTCCAGCTGGATCATAATACACTCCTCATAAACTTTATACATTTGTCATTTAGTTGCGTGGGACATCAGCTTGCAAAGAAATTACAGGTTAATTCAGATGATATAAAGCAACGTCATAGCAGAGAGATTTCCAACTAATTATTATTTCTACACCAGAGGCAATAACTCCTGTGACAATTCACTATTGTAGCAAAAGATCCGATGAATTATTTTAAAAAAAGTTGGAGTACATTTGACAGCAAGAATATTTCTCTACACAATGACATGATGGGTGCAGCTAGCAATGTATAATTACTTAAAAGTGTTGTTAAATTATACTTGATGGGGTTCACATTTAGGTGTGACCAAGCTTTTTAAATATACTTCATTGGTTATAAAATAATTACAAAGTGTTTTTTATCAGCTCAAGTGCCACTCACTACAGCAGTTCTTAAGCTGAAGGTAATTCTGACAGGCATTTTAATCAGCAAAGCATTCAACAAAAAAGATGGCTAAACAAAAAGCAAGTTAAAGGTCCTCTTGTCTTTGGAGTGAAGAACTCTTTACGTATACATCACTTTCTTGCCCAGAAGAACTCAGTTAAAATCTGTGTCTGTTCTTGCTAAAATTTCATTTGCTGTTCCACAGTCTTACAGGTACTCTTAGCAACCCATAAGAGCATTTTCTGAATAACTGGCTGAAGCACCCTTTTATCCTTCAGCTTAACTGTGAAAAAGATATCATTCCATATAAAATAAACATGGACCAGCCGTTGAAGTAATATATGAGCGTGTATGGCATATGAGTACACAAAAACTGATCATCTTTGTTGCGTCATTTTAGTGACAAATCATAAAAGATGTGAGTATAATTTTCCCCATTATTGCACACAGTAAGGACATAAAATAAATTTCAAAACTTGGTTGCTTTTATCAATCCTGAGAGTTGCTGAGAAAGTAAGTGACTGACAAAGGATAGTTTCAGCCTTACTTCAGGCATGCAATTCCCTTTTGGAGTTTACCTTGATGGTGGATGCCAACCAGTGGCAGGTATTTACCATCATAATCTTTTGTTTTAATTTCCTTCTGGTTTTGCCCAAAACATTGTGAAAGCCATAAATATGAGATGCCCTTGAAAAATTCGCACTAGTAAAGGAAAAAAAAATGCACAAACAAGTTCAGAATGACATCAGACAGGAAAACTATGTAATCACTTGCCTTTTTTAAAAAATATAATTTGCACAAATTTTAAAATATAGCTGCTTTCATTTTTTCTTCATTCATAATTCTGTATATGAACTCTGACTGCTGTTATTGCTTTTTGACAGCTTTTTAAAGTACTGTGAGATCTTGTAGAATTTAATGTGGAAAATAAAACAGGAAATTTACATGAAAAGCTAAGAGAAAAATAAGTGTTCTTTGAAAAACTAATGTAAAAGTACAAATGCTTACCTTTGTGTTTGGGTGGCATAACTGTTATCATATGCCTCATAGCTTGGATCATCATATTCACCCCCATATCCATCATCGTATCCCTAAGGGAAAAACAGAAGACCACAGCTTAGAAGAGTGATAAATCAAAACATATTATGAAGAGGTAAAAGTAACTTGCATCAACATATACATGCTAAGTTTGCCCATTATTCTGTAAAACATGCAGCCTTCTGACGAGAATAGTGAATTGTGAAGAACGACCTGTACGTTGCAAGGGTAAAGAAACCAGTTAATCATTTAAGAATTCAGCTTATTAATTGGTAAACAGTGGTGTATTGTCCAAACCACAGTGCTTCCGTAGGATCTATGTAGACTACTGATGAACAGTAATGAAAACAATAATTTCCTAGCAATTTGTTATATAAATGGTTCCATAAATACCTATAGGTGAAATGAACAAATGTCAGGAAAAATGTTGACTGTAGAACATTATTAAGAATGTTATTGTGATAAGATCATAATATTCAGTCTATTAAAAAAACCAAAACAAACAAACAATGAGAAACAATATTTGTGTGTGATTGTGAAGGAAGTAATGGATTATGATTTTTATAAATAACTCCACTGAGCACGTTTTCTTTCACTGAGCATCCCACTCTTTTTTAAGGTATGTTTTTCTGTGACAAGTGAATGAACACTTTAATACAGGTTCCTCCCACCTAACTCAAGGGTCCTAACTGAAGGGCTCAGACAAATCCTCAGTCTGCCTAAGCTAGAGACACACTTCAGAAGGTGGTTCAGCTCATCTAATGCCTGAATCTTCTGCTGAGGGACCCATGGGCAATTATGATCCTTTGTAGCTGCCTCTGAACCAAAGAGTGCTCAGGAAGCAGACAATAAATAAATTAAGACATAATCCAGAGGATGACTTCTGATATCTTCTTTTCAAAAGACAGGACAACAGAGTAGGCAAGAAATGCTGTATGGAAATACATTTTTTTTCTCTATGAATTTTGAGAGCCAGTATTTTTAGTTAAATAGAAACTAAACATTTCGTAGTCACAAGAAAATTTTCCTGTTATGGGAATTGCTAAAGGAAATAGGGGGCTTAAAGATCTTTGACTTAATATTAATTACAGCAGAAGGCAATTCCTTCCCCCCTCCCGATACATGCAAATTTTAGTTAGCTTGGGGTAGAAGGGACAGCATGAGGCAGCTCCAAAATAACAGCTGTCCAATAAACAATCACTCTGGTACACTATCATAACCACATAAAGTACCATGTTAGTTTCATACTTCATTATTTCTGCTAATTAAACTCCACAATGGTATTGAACTAGACTTCACTGGTACTCCCGACGGAAAGAAAACATTCAAAGGAGGAAGCATTCAGTTATGTCTCCTTAGGCCAAGCATATTAAGTTTGCCTGTCCTTCTGATTTCCTACCCAGCAGTGAAGGTGAGTGTGGATTTGAGGTGGGAGACTTCACGCCTGGGGTGCCGTGTGGCCTGAAGGAAGGATAGGACTTCGGATGGTGACTCCACTTCCCAGGCACCTGTGTCCTCTTGCAGTAAGGGAAAGCTTTTCTGGGCAGGAGGGAGAGTCTTGTATTGAGGCTGTGGAATGGCCTCTCCCAGGATCTGAAGTCCACACAAACCTCATCGTCTTTCATTTCAGCTGGAACTGCACCAGCTGGATTTGCCTTTGTTAGTATAAACTCCTAGCAAAAAGTACAGTTGAACACATATCCCTCCAGACTACAGTGATATATTTAACACTGTACAGCTAAATACACAATCTTGCTTCTGGGGACAGGATGAGAGAAAAAATGAACCACAGGAGACAGATGTTAGTCCCATCAATTAGTATGCTACTGGGTGGGATCCTGCTACTGTGAAGATGAGGGTGATGCAAGTTCCTTTACAAAGTCGAATAGCTAGAGGACAGACATTTCAGCATGCTTACCCACCATATGAGAGAACAGCAAAGGCAACAATTACAAATTAGCTCTCAGTTTCTTGATGCCTGAGGTGGATCAACGTTCAGCACCAGAAGGGCAGAGAACACTTGTTAATATTTGACACTTCTGTGGGTTCACGTTACAGATTTTTAACAGCCTCCCTAAAGGCTCAGAGCAGGTCAACATAGTGCAAATGGTTCAAGTGGAATGGTTGGAAAAGAGAGAGAGAGTAAGAAAGCACAATATATCTTTAATAATGTATTTTCCAGATGATGTTCTCTTATTTGTGTCAATCTGTATGAGAATTATCTTCTAATCCTACAGGTGAACTATTTATGTAAGGTACATACTAGCATTTTTTCAAAGTTTAATACCGCATATCGCACCCAGACACCCTTGTCCAAAAGCAGCCTTTAGTCATCTAGAATTGAGATTCAAAATAGCTCCTTTCATACCCTTGAAGTGCCTCAGACTCACTGAGCATTTTTCTTCTCTTTAACCTTCATTTCCCCAGAACCTACAACTTTGACGTTTGAAAGTATTTCTCGCATGCACATTTTGAGATGAGACACCCAGCCCCACGGAGACCCTCTTAAGATCCAGAAGCTCTGAGTTTGATGCCATTTAAATTCACATATGCTGGGCTCTGTGTGTGATGAGGAGGGTGCTCCCAAGAGCAGTTCTGTATAAATCCAGAGACCAGAACCCAGGATGCCCTCTCCAAATGCAGTGCAATCTCTTACTGGGCAATAGAGTCAGACTCCTTCATGCACTCGCTAGGTCTACTAATCCTCGTATTAAAACCAACCAAACAAAAAAACCTCATTAAATTTATAAATATTCTGTATATGTATGCTGACAGGAACAGAAAAGTCCTCTTAGAGAATCTAAGTTACTAGTGCTGCATCCTCACCTCACTGAAGGCAATAGGATTACTCATGCTGTCACTGTTCCGAGTACGACATTTTTTCTTCTGTAATTACTACAATTTTATTTATTTCACCAGAAATCTTCACATATATGTGTATAACACTTAGACCTTCCATTCTGTATGTAAGTTCTAACACCTGTTAATTGAGGTCTGTGCTTTTCAAGCAGAAATATCTCAGATAAAGTGACTTTGGGTCTGATCTGATCAATGTCCACCACTGGAGACTCCATTTGCACGCTCATCAGAATATTAGAAAACTTGTATGAAAAGCTGATAGGGTCAAGCCACCCAGTTTCATTGAAGTGGAACAAAATGCTTCCCTAAATCTTCAAAGTTCTTTGAGGAGGTTAATGAGGGTGCAGACAAGCAGGACCCAAGGGAAACAGGTTCCTTTGAACTCCAAAAAGATACCGTCCAAGGGACTGGGGTTGTTGCCTGTGAAGACTCTTTTCATAAGAAAAAGACCTTTTTACTTTGTATCAGGGAAAAGGAAAGTAAATCTTTCAATGACTAGGATTTGCTGTGGCCTTGCAGTGATACATCCTGAAACCGGAGATAAAGGGACAGAAATACACATCTGGAGCTGCAATGGGGCTAACAATGTTTATAAACAATTACGGATGATTTTGAAGAGTTTTGGTATAGTCCAGAGTTAAAAAAAAAAAAAAAAAAAAAAAAAAAAAAAAGAAAAATTAAGGAGCATTTAAAAATACAGCTCAGTTCAAGAAAAGACTAATTTGAGAATGAGCATATTTAAGTATTTAACCAGTCTTTCCCCACACAACGCAGATAGGAAAAACTCTTAGAACAATCTCAGAATAGCACATGAAATTAGCATTGGGAACACTCACTTCAGAAGAAAATATCCACTACTCTACCACTGATAAAGAAAGTCAGTCGGGGAAAATGGGGTGTAGAAGAAAAAAGGGACATAATGGGAAAAAAGGCTTATATTCTACCACCTGAGACAAAGTTAAGTGTCAATTTGATTCAACATCCAAGATGTCATTGAGAAAGATTTATTTATTTAGATTTACTCAAGTCCCTTCCAAGTCTCAGAAACCGAAATAAATATTAGAAATACAAACAAAATAATAAGTATCATCAGTAAAAAGGGTATCACAATCTCATGCAATCCGATCTCTTTAAACATGAATTTCCTACTTAACATTAAAACCCTATTTCAAATAATAACAGCCCACACTCAAATGCACCAAGTTTAAATTACTTCATCCCTGAATAGCCTTCGAAAACAGCATTTTCACAGCGTGCTCTGAAAAATGTTATGTTTCAACTCTGGGAAACCAAGAAGGAAAATAATTCTAATACTTCTAATGAAAACTGCCCTACTCACAATATTTTACATATGTCCTGGTAATACATAATAAAATACATTGTAAGGAAGAACTAATTAGTTTTTTATAGAAGATAGCCCAACTCTTTCTAAACTAGCAAACTGCAAAATATCTAGACTTGCTTTAATTAAAAAAAGCAAAACACAAACAACAATAAGTCAAAGTGAGTTATGCAACTCTGTACTTTATTTAGCAAATATGTGAACAAGAAAAATGTCTGCAGCCAGAGATCCAGGGTAGCCCTGCTCTTTAGCTGCACCCAGCAGTACACAAAGATTAGTACTGTACCTCTGAGAAGGCGAGGGTATAAAAATCAACCTCTAATTGTTACTCTAAGTAAAACCAGTTGTTTCCCAGTAAAGAGGCCTTCGCATAGTTTCCACTATTTTCTTCTCATTGCTTCTGTAAATCTACAAATGCTGTCTCCCTCTCTTTTCTGTTAGGACTTGGCCACATCCATATTTTCTCACACACCCATATCACCTTAGCTTAGAAGGCTAAAAGCCAGTTGTCTACCACTAACCTAGCAGTAGATTCCCGTAAGAATCACAGGGTAGAAATCAAACATTTTTAGAGGGTAATTCATCCCACGAACTTCTGACACCTATTTGAGGACAAGCTGAATTGCTCTCTGAATGAGAACTTTCTTTCCAATGACTATAAACGGAGCCTGGGATGGATGTGTTAGCTAACTAACCTTTAGGTACGTAAGTTAGTCTGAAGGAATTTATTGCTCAAAGAAAGCTGAGCTTGTAAAAATCAGTGCTGCTAAGCTTAATTTTGAAGTGACCTGAGACCCAGAATGCAATCAGAGTGCTGTGAATGATGCATGGGGATGAGCGGGCATGTCAGAA